TAGCCATGAGTCAGGGGTGAGTGACTCAACGATCGCTAACAACAACAGCCATGAATCAGGGGCAACTCAACAATCGCTAACAACAGCCATGAATCAGGGGCGACTCAACGATCACTAACAACAGCCATGAATCAGGGGCGACTCAACGATCACTAATAACAGCCATGAATCAGGGGCGACTCAATGATCACTAACAACAACAGCCATGAATCAGGGGCGACTCAACGATCACTAACAACAACAGCCATGAATCAGGGGCGACTCAACGATCGCTAACAACAACAGCCATGAATCAAGGGTGACTCAATGATCGCTAACAACAGCCATGAATCAGGGATGACTCAACGATTGCTAACAACAGCCATGAGTCAGGGTGACTCAATGATCGCTAACAACAGCAGATAATGTGCCCTAGGTGCCAGGGTCCCTGAAACTCCCTCACACACAATGACAGCACAGAGACAGAAGGGACAGGCAAGTACCTGTGATGAGCTATGGAATGTGAGGTGGGCTGGGAGCAGGAGGGTCTCCCCGTCCCTGACGTCTCCAGCAGCCAGCGAGGCTGTGTAGCTGACAGTGAAGGCATCTCCAGCTGCTCAGAGAGAACACACACGGGCGTGAAAGGAGGCTTTCCCATGCAACCACCCACCACCCCCAGGCCCAGCCAGACATCTTGCTTTTGGGGTTCAGAAGGAGGCCGCTCTCATCTCCCCAAGTCTGCAGTAATGGAGTCTTTCCCATCCCACACGCTGTTCACAGGGAGAATTCTCTGAGTGGTAAACGGGAGAAGAATCAACTAGACTACTTGGCTCCTGGGCCCCCTCTTTTCGCCCCTTGAAATGGAGTGTCGGGGGGCGCAGGAGCAGCACTCTGCTTCTGCTTGCCAGAATCTTACCTGGGCACCCCACCCACACCCCATCCAACACTGCCTGGGACTGAGTGTGTTATGGATTGAATTGTGTCCCCCAAAACTATGTGTTAGAATCCTAACCCCTATACCTGTGGGTGTAATCTCATCTGGGAACTAGGTTTTCTTTGTTATGTTAATGAGGACCTATCAGAGTAGGGTGTGTCTTAAACCTAATCACTTTTCTATTTTTATTGTTGTAGTTTAAGTGAAAGTTTACATTTCAAGTTACTCTAATACAAGAATTTATACATACTTTGCTATGTGACCCTACTGCTCTCCCTATACTGTGACAGCACACTCCCCCTTTCCACCCTGGATTTCCCGTGTCCATTCAACCAGCTCCTGACCCTCTCTGCCTTCTCATCTCACCTCCGGACAGGAGCTGCCCATTTAGTCTCATGTAGCTACTTGAGCTAAGAAGCACACTCTTCACGAGTATATTATGTCCCATAGTCCAGTCCAATCCTGGTCTGAAGAGTTGGCCTCAGCAATTGTTTTAGTTCTGGGTTGACAGAGAGTCGGAGGGCCATGCTTTCTGGGGTTCCTCCTGTCTCAGTCATACCATTAAGTCTGGTCTTTTTACTAGAATTTGAGTTCTGTTAGACCTAATCACTTTTGAGATACCAAAGGAGCAGATCAGGTGCAAAGAGAAGCAAGACAAATGGGGGAAAGATGGATGCCATGTGGAGCTCTCCAAGGAATCAAGGAACGCTGGGGCCACAGAAGCTGAGACAAGGACCTTCCCCAAGAGGGGACAGAGGGAAAGCCTTCCCTTTGAGCCAGTGCCCTGAATTCGGACTTCTAGTCTGCTAAACTGTGAGAAAATAAATTTCTATTCGTTAAAACCAACCACTTATGCTATTTCTGTTACCAAAAAAGAAAAACCAAACCCATGGCCATCAAGTTGATTCCGACTCATAGCAACCCTATAGGACAGAGTAGAACTGCCCCACAGAGTTCCCAAGGAGCAGCTGGTGGACTCAAACTGTCAGCCTTTCTTGTTAGCAGCCATAGCTCTTAACCACTGCGCCACCAGGGCTCCATTTCTGTTACAGCAGCACTAACCTGGGATTCACTGAGCTCACACACTTTGGAAATCCACGATCCAGGCGGGATCTATTATTCCCAACACCACCACTCACACTGCCACAGGGAGTTTTTACCGCCCCTCAGGCCTTGGCAGGTGGAATATTAGCTGCTGCTACGTGGTCATTAGGAGTCGGAATTGACTTGACAGCAACGAGTTTGGTTTTGGTTTTTTCTAACACCCCCAGGCAGCTGGGTACTGCAAGCACTAGGGGGCACTGGTGAGTCCCCTTTGCCCTGGTGTGAGGAGGCAGCAAGGAAGGAGGTGGAGAAGGCACCCATGGGTTCCTGCACCCTGTCCACCCACAGAGTGTCCCAACCTCGTGGCCTCTAGTTATCTCCAGATGGCTTAGTTACACCGTTCCCCAGCAGACGGGTTTCTGAATCAAAGCACTCTCCCAGCAAGAAGTCAGGACCCAACAGGCCAGCCCCACCTGCTCCGGAGGGGTGGAGCCCTATTGCTAGGAAGAGGCCACACTCGGTTAAACCCCAAGATAAACTAACAGGTCCTGGGGTCCTGGATGGGACAGAGAGGAACCTCAAACGAGTTCTGGGGACAGAGGGACCCCCACAGTGGTTTTCCGATGTGGGAGGCAGCAACAATGTCTCAATCCCACTTCCTAGAAATGGAGCCAGCACGCACGGGGGTCCTTCTCCATCTTCTGTCAGAAATGCGGGGTTCACACATTATCTAATGAGGATTCCTCCCCCCACCCCGAGGTGACGCGCTTCTTAGGTCCCTGGGTGACGCTCAACTACTAACCAAAAGGTTGGTGGTTCGAACCCACCCAGTGGCACCACCAAGAAAGCCTGGCCATCTGCTTCCATACAGATCACAGCCTAGAAAACTCTCTGGGACGGTTCTACTCTGTAACGAGTCAAAATCAACTCGACGGCAACGAGTTTGGTTTTTGGTGAGGTGATGTTCTCAGGGTGTGCCTTGGCATCCGACAGAGACCAAAGGCCCTTGAAGTTAAAACCAAGAGGGGCATCTCCACCCCTACTCGTGGTCACAGGCCCTCTGAGCCTGAGCCGTGGTCTGCAGAAATGTTGAGTGCTAGGCCTGGGGACATGGCCCTGTTGGCCAGAGGCTGACCACTGGCTTGTTGTCTAAACTGGGTGGTTGTGGGGCTGAGTGTGGTACTCCAACAGGCTTTCTAAAAGTAGATAGCCAGGCTTTTCTTCCAAGGTGCCTCTGGGTAAATTTGAACCACCAAACTTTCAGTTAGCAGCCAAGGGCGCTAATCATTTGCACCACCCATGTGTCCTCTTTTCGGACACTTAATGTAAATGGAAGGAGCCCCGGTGGTGCAATGGTTAAGCGCTCCGCTGCTAAATGAAAGGTCGACAGTTCTAACTTACCCAGCAGCTCCACCGGAGAAAAGACCTGGCGATCTGCTCCTGTAAAGTCACAGCCCAGAAACTATGGGGCAGTTCTGCTCTGTCCTATAGGGTCACTCTGAGGCAGAATGGACTGACGGGCACGAAACAACGACAGTAAATGGAATCTTACAATACGTGGTCTTCCACGTCTGGCTTCTTTCACTGAATGTAACGTGACTTGATTCACCTATGTGGTAACGTACCAGCACATTATTCCTTTTTACTGCTGAGCAGATTCCCTTGTGTAGACAGACAGCATTTTGTTTCTGTAAGACTCTTTTGTGTCCCCTTAACTCCGGGGACTTGGTAAAAAATGGGCATGGGAGAAAGTTGGCGTTACACCTATTCGGCCTCTAAGACAAAGGAACTACGTCTTTTCCACTGCTGAAGGAACCCGAACTCCTCTAGAACCCCACGACATGACGAAAGTAATTAATGTCACTGAATTATACCTGTAAAAGATGTTGAAACGGCAAACGTTTTGTTACATATAACTTATTTTTAAAGGTTATGTAGAGATATGAGCCCGCGTGGCATAAATGGCTTACACTCGACCACAAACCTAAAAGGTTGGCAGTTCAAACTCACTCAGTGGTTCTGCGGAAGAAAGCCCTGGAGAACTGCTTCCTTAAAGATTAAAAACCAAAAACCTACTGCCGGCCAGTCAGTTCCGACTCGTAGCAACCTCATAAGGTCTCCAAGGCTGTAAAACTCTACGGAAGCAGACTGCCACATCTTTCTCCCTCGGAGCCACTGGTGGTTTCGAACCTCTGACCTCTCGGTTAGCAGTCGATCATGTTAACCACTGAGCCACCAGGGCTCCATAAAGATTATAGCTAAGAAAATCCTATGGAGCAGTTCTACTCTATAATACATGGGGTTGCTATGAGTCGGAACTGACTCAACAGCAACAGGTTTGGTTTGGTTTTTAAGTAGAGAAAAAACAAGAATGTGCCTGGCACACACCACACAATCTGTGGGTCCCAGGTATGCTCCTCATCTGCCATCCCTGCCCTGTGTATGCTCTGAGGTTACCTTGCAGAAACTTCTTTCTGAAAGCCTGGAATCCTTCTGACGTCTTATTTCCAGCGGACTCCCTCACGGTGAGGCCGGTGATGTTGTCCAGCAGCACCAGCTCTGAGAGGTTGGCGGCCGAGGGCGACCTGGTGTTGTTCACGAGAAGCCACACGTGAGCGGTCTGTGGTCCACTCTGCCCAGACACCTAGGACAGGAAGAGATGGGATCACTTCCGGTCTGCTGCGACGTCCCCCCTATGTACATGCCCTACACACGCAGGAAGAAGGAGGCTCTACAGCTGCACAAAGCTTCTGACAACCGACCGGGCTCCGTCTGATTTCAGGGCCCCAGGAGAGTTTCCACACATGCTTGCTTGTGCAGCTGTTGCTTGGAGACAATTTCAAAGACACTTGTTGTTGCTGGTTGCCATTGAGTCAATTCTGACTCAGGGCAGCCCCAAGTGTTACAAAGTAGAATGGCTCCATAGGGTTTTCAAGGCTGTGACCTTTTGGAAGCAGACTGCCAGGCCTGTCTTTCTGAGGCATCTCTGGGTGGGTTTGAACCGCCATTCTTCTGGCTAGTAGTTGAGCACTTAACCGTTTGCACCACCCAGAAACTCCATTCGAAGACCTAGGACCCTACGAAGCAGTGAAATCATTGCCGCAGAACAACTTGGAAGAAAAAAGACCCAAGTGCAGAACTGCAGGGAAGTGTGTGACCATCGGTGTCACCCAGAAAAGCAAACAGCAGACCGAGTTACTTAGAAGCATCAGTCGTGGCCCCAGAAGGCATCTCGGGCATTAGCAAGTTCCCCAAGGAAGGAAGGAGGCTGGAGGACCCTCGAGAGCAAGGGTCATCAATCAACTCTTCAGGGCTTCGGGTCCCATGGCCACACTATGGACTTCACACAGGTTTTACCCATAAAGCCAAGATGGGCTGACAAGTCCTGTACTGCAAGGAAGCCCTTCCCAGAGGCCTGCTTACTGCAGCGCCAAGCCCCTTCCCACCCTCCCTCTGGGGGGAATGAATGCTGCCCAGGCCTCTCTCAACCAAGAATCAGGCTGGCCTCATTCATGGTCCTTGTTATGAACTGAATTGCATCCCCCGCCAAAATATGTGTTGGAGTCCTGACCCCTATTCCTGTGGCTGTGATCCCATTTTGGAATAGGTTTTCTTTGTTACGTTAATGCAGCCATATCAGAGCAGGATGTGTTCTAAACCTAATCACGTTTGAGTGGTACGAAGACCTGAACTAATATCTTTATATCAATGTATCAGGCAGCATAGAGTCAGACACCAAAACCAAACCAAACCCATTGCCCCATAGGGTTTCCAAGGAGCGGCTGGTGGCTGCAAACTGCCAACCTTTTGGTTAGCAGTCGAGTTCTTAACCACTGCCCCACCAGGGCTCCAGATACAGACAAGCAAGGACAAATGGGAGAAGCCAGATGCCACCTGCATTGGGCAAATCTGCTGCCAAAGACCTCTGTGAAGTGTTAGAAGGCAAAGATGTCACCTTGAGGACTAAGGTGCACCTGACCCAAGCCATGGTGTTATCAATCACCTCATCTGCATGAGAAAGCTGGACGATGAATAAGGAAGAACAAAGAAGAAATGCCTTTGAATAGTGGTGTTGGCAAAGAATATTGAATATACCACGGACTGCCAAAAGAATGAACAAATCTGTCTTGGAGGAAGTACAACCAGAATGCTTCTTAGAAGCAAGGATGGTGAAACTACGTCTTATCTTACTTACTCTGGACATGTTAACAGGAGGGACCAGTCCCGTGAGGACATCATGCTGGGTAAAGTAGAGGGTCAGCAACAAAGAGGAAGACCCTCAACAAGATGGATTGACACAGTAGGTGCAACAACGGGTTCAAGCATAACAACGATTGTGGGCATGGTGCAGGACTAGGCAGGGTTTTGTTCTGCTGTACAGAGGGCCGCTATGAGTCACAACCGACTCGATGTCACCTGACAACAACAACAGCTTCGTAAACTGTGACAAAATAAATCTGTTTGTTAAAGCCACCCGCTTGTGGTATTTGTTACCGCAGCACTAGATAACTAAGACAGCCCTGACTCCATGTTCTTCTCTGGGCTTCTTTCCAACACTTCCTCCCAGAGCCTCACTCTACAATCCATCAAACCCACCACCCTGTCTCTGTCCTCTATTCACGTATGTTGATCTTTCTAGATTACCCTGTTCTCCAGGTCACTCCCTCTGTCCCTAACTCCTGTGCCTTCTAAACTACTCAGCTCAAGGGTCACCTCCTCCAGGCAGCCATCCCTGGCACCGCCAGGCCTATCAAAGCACTGATCCCACCCTCACACTGCCCTGCAGTCGCCAGTCTTTCTCCACCAGATGGCGCACTTCTCATGGAAGGACTGCCTTATACAGTCCTGGATCTCCAAGGCTGGCGAGGCGCTGACCTTGTGAGTCGGTGCCCTGTACCCCTTGGAAAGATGGAGGCCAGAAGAGGCAGATCCCATATTCCAAACTGTAATACAAGGACAGGGAGCAGGGGAGGTTCAGTGGTAGAAGTCTCACCTCCCATGCAAGAAACCTGGGTTCGATTCCCAGCCAATGCACCTCATGCACAGCCCCAGCCCATCTGTTAGTGGAGGCCTACATGTTGCTAGGATGCTTAACAGATTTCAGCAGAGCTTCCAGACTAAGACAGACTAGGAAGAAAGGCCTGGCGATCTACTTCCAAAAACCAGCCAATGGAAACCCTACGGATCCCAATGGTCCGATCCCACTGTGTATGGGGTTTCCGTGAGTCGGGGGCCAACTCAAGGACGGTAGGTAACAACAGACAACACGAGGGTGATAGAAATAACCATCCCACGGGATTATCAGGTTAAACAACCTAACAGGCATCCAACGACTTTTTGTTAACTGTCAAGCACCATATCAATGTTTATAATCCATGAGAAAATATACCATACTTTTTTCCGCATTTGAAATGATCACAGTGGATTTCTACTACCAATAAATTAACTGTCAGAAAAACAGTCTCAACTGTGGTGCTGCTATATAAAATATAAGATCCCTTGTAAGTTACTTGATGCCCATGTATTGAGGTTCCGGTAGGTAACCCTGTGATCTGGTTAACACGTTTAAGACTCTATTAACAAATGATTTCCGCAAAGTCCAATTACTTTCTCCTCGAGTATAAGCTGCCTATGGACACTTACCACTGCACATTTCTGAAAAACGACTCCATTCTCAGAAGTGCCTTGAACTTCTCTTGAAATGTCTCCGTACTATAAGACAGAAATTATTAGAAAGCCAACATTATTTCATGCTACACATATTTAAGGTGCGCCTGATGCAAGTCATGATGTTTTCAATCACCTCATATGCATGTGAAAGCTGGACAATGAATAAGGAAGACGGAAGAAGAACTGATGCCTTTGAATTACGGTGTTGGCAAAGAATATTGAATATACCGTGGACTGCCAGAAGAACAAACAAATCTGTCTTGGAAGAAGTACAGCCAGAATGCTCCTTAGAAGCAAGGATGGCGAGACTGCATCTCACATACTTTGGACATGTTATCAGGAGAGATCAGTCCCTGGAGAAGAACATCATGCTGGGTAAGGTGGAGGGTCAGGGAAAAAGAGGAAGACCCTCAATGAGATGGATTGACACAGTGGCTGCAACAATGGGCTGAAATATAACAATAATTGTGAGGATGGCGCAGGACAGGGCAGTGTTTCATTCTGTTGTACGTAGGGTCTCTATGAGTTGGAACCAACTCGACAGCACCTAACAGCAACAAACATTTAATAAAAGCACAGTATGACAAGCATTGTAAAAAGAGGGTAAAGGAATTACTTCTGCTAGTAGGAAACTGCCTGCAGTAATTTTGAAGATTTTTTTATTAAAAAATATACCTGTTTAAAAAACATGTAATGGGGCTCATATGGGGTTATATATACAAAGTACTAAGCACAGAGCCGGGCACACACTAAATATTAATGAAACGTTCACTGCTATTCTGAGCAGCGTCATTTCTGTAACAGCTGGGAATAGAATCGGGCTGGTTAAAACAGAAGCTGGAACCACACTTTAAAACCATTAAATGAGGCAGCCTAAAGCTCAGATTCAAACGTTCTCATCATCTAAATATGATACGTTGCAAAGATGAAATAGCAGTTTGGAAAGATAAATGGATTTGCTGCCAAATGGTAACTACAGTGAAACCTGTGAAAGCCGGAACTCGGCGGGGCTGCCTTGTTTTTCCAGGTCTTGCAAATTTTCTGCCTTTGACAGGGTGTAGTCTTACCACTTTTCTATCCTCTCTATTAGTGGAAAATATTGGAACTTTCCTTCTATGACAGGTTTCCGCCTTACCCAGGTTCCAGCTTTCGTAGGTTTTACTGTGTATTTAAAGAAAGGAAAGGAATATGCTTTTTTGAGGAACAAAAGCCTATGACATTTTATACATGGTTAGCTGAAAATTGGTTTCTTTCCAACTTTTGATCTTTTTGTTAACATATCAAACTTGCTACTTACCAGGCGGTGTGCTGGAGAAGACTCTCTTTTGAATAAGGTCTTCTTGGTCCATGAGGGTATAAACGCGAATATGGAATGTGTCCATGGGCCGCCTGAGGCTGCAGAAGTCAGGAGTGGGTTAAAGTCTTCAGTTTTCCTGTTGCGTTTCACTCCCAATGGGGTTTCCACTGCCAACAGCGGTGGACACTTGTTACATAGTGCAGAGAGGCAGTAAGGCACAGTGGTCCAGCCCTGGAGGCAGGCCACGTGGTATGTGGGCAGCACTTGGAAAACGTGTGCTGAATGAATGACATACTGTCTCTCTGCCATGAAAACTGAGACATGCTCACTTGGAGGCTCCAGCATCGTCTCCTTACCCAGGTTGTGTGCTAAAATGCACTTTCCTGGGCCCCACCCCAAACCTACTGAATCAAGACCGCTAGGAAAGGGCAGGGCCCAGGGTGATTCTTCCACACACGGGACATTACAGTCCTGAGTTCAAATCCTAGCTCTGCCACTCAGCAGGTATGAGTCCTTGGGCAAGTAACCTAAACTCTCTGAGCCTCAGTTTGCTTGGCTGTAAAGTGGGGAGAAGAATACATCTCACCTCACTGGGTCCTTCTGAGGATTCAATAAGATGAGGCGCAGAATGCATCTGGCACCTCCTACGGCAGAGTAAGCCCTCAACACCACCACCAATCAGTATTAAGTGTGAAGGGGATCACAGATGCCAGCTGAGTCATCCAACACAAAATTCCTCCCTCTGAAATGATCTCAGTGTGGTTATTTTTTTGAAAATTCATGAACGCTACGTGTCATGGGGAAACCCTGGTGGCGGAGTGGTTAAGAGCTACAGCTGCTAACCTAAAGGTCTGCAGTTCGAATCCACCAGGTGCTCTTTGGAAACCCTACGGGGCAGTTCTACTCTGTCCTATAGGGTCACTATGGGACGGAATTAACTCAACAGCAACGGGTTTATGCGTTATGGGTTGACTTGTGCCTCCCAAAAAGATATGTTCAAGTCCTAACCCCCTGTCCCTGTGAATGTGACCTTATTTGGAAATAGCATCTTTGCAGACGTAATTAGTTAACACGAGGTCATCCTGGAGAAGGGTGAGCCCTAATCTGAGATGACTGGTGTCCTTGTAGGAGGAGAGACAGACAGACAGAGGAGAACACCAGGTGAAGCCAGGACAGAGACTCAGACACACGGAAGACGTCATGGGAAGACGGAAGCAGGGCCAGGAATGCCTGGGGCCACCGGGATTTAGAAGCGGCAAGGAAGGCTCCTCCCCCAGAGCCTTCACAGAGAGCACAGCCCTGTGGACACCTTGACTGTGGGCTTCTAGCCTCCAGAATGGTGAGAGAGCAAACGTCCATCAGTTTAAGCCACCGCTCTGTGTACTAGAAAATGAATGCCTTAGCCCCTGGGACTCGGGGTCAGTTATCTGGACTAATGCTCGCCCAGCAGACGGAGGCAGAAGGAGATCTGACTGCAGACAGAAGGGGCTCATGCGACAGAAGCACAGGGAAACAGTCAGAGCAGAAGCAGCTACGCCTCTGGCTTTGAAGACGGAGGGAGGACCCACAAGCCAAGGAATGCAGCTCTAGATGCCGGAAAGAGCAAGAAGACGGGTTCTCCAGAGAGCCTCTGGGGGGAACGTGGCCCTGCCAACACCATGACTTTAAACCAAACCCACTGCGGTCGAGTCAGTTCCAACTCACAGGACACAGCAGAACTGCCCCATAGGGTTTCCAAGGCGGTAAATCCCTACGGACGCAGACTGCCTCATCTTTCTCCAGCAGATCCGCTGGTGGGTCTGAACTGCCAACCTTTCTGTTCGTAGCCGAGCACTTTAACCACTGTACCACTGTGGCTCACCTTGACTTTAGCCCAGCGAAACTGATTTCAGACTTCAGGCCTCCAGAACTGTAAGAGCACGTATTTGTGTTGTTTTAAGGCACTAAGTTTGCAGTGATTTGTTACAGAGGCTAGGGAGAGCAACTCGGGTCACATAACAATGTATGTACAAATTTTTGGATGAGAGACTAACTAGAATAGTAAACTTTCAGTTAAAGCACAACAATTAAAAAAAAAGATGAATTCTGACATAAAAAAATTAAAAAAAAAAAAGAATGTCTGCCTTGAGCTTTGTGCTCTTCTAAAGAGCTATCTATATGGGATCAGATCGACAACAGCAACTCGCAAGGTTCAATCAGTGTACATGAAGAAACTGTTGGATTGGTATATGTTTTGCTATGTATATTCTGAACAACAAAATCAATTAATTAATTAAATTGACCAATGAAAACCCTACGGATCACAACGGAACACTGTCTGATCCACAAACTACCATAGGGATGGCGCGGGACCAGGCAGTGGTTCATTCCATTGTGGGTGGGGTCACCACGAGGCAGGGCCAGCGCTACAGCAGCTCACAGCAGCAAACAAAACTACAAATTCTGTGTTTTATTAATCAGACTCCTTCACAGGGGAATTGAGACGGACCCACCTTACCCTCAATTCTGTTCTGTGGTACTGAAGCTCTAGCCAGCTGCTAGAGGCGGCGGCGGCACACTGCCCTTGTTTCGTGAGGCCAAGACTTAACCTCTTGGCCAAAGGTGGAGAGATGGCAAGGGGGTCCGCAAAGAGTGAGGGAGGTAGGGGGAGGAAGGATAAATCTTTAGGGTTCTGATTCTCTTTCATGAGCAAAACAGTGAAAACTCCACCAAAAGAAAAACTCACCCGCAGTTTTAAAATGAGAGCTTTCACCATCAGGCCAAATCATACAGGAAAAATCCTAAAAAAAAAAGGCACAAAGTCATTAACTGAAGAACATATAAGGAGTGGATGGAAGTAATTTTCGTAAGTGGCTCACACTGAGATTACTTACACTTTCATCTGGAAGTCTAAAGTACAGGTAGTCCTCTACTTACTACGTATTCAAGTTACCATGGACTGCACTTACAACAGTCCATTTTTTTTTTATCATTGGTAATATGTACTGCATACAATGTTGCAGCGTGTAATTTTCTGATGATACTATTCTCATGCCAACCCCCAAAGACAATTAAGATTCGCTTTATAAAGACACTGATAACAAAAGGCAATAATTATGAAAACTGAAAAGAAAGAGAGATATTCGACTTACATCAGAACCGACTTACTATAAAGTCATCGAAACGGAACCTCATCGTAAATTGGAAATCACCTGTATATAGTCAGACAGACCTGGGTTTGATTTCTAGCTCTGCAATTCACTAACCCTGTGACCTCGGATAAGTTTCGAACCTCTGAATTCCAAGGTCCTGCAAATTTTCATGGAGTAGCGGATAAAAAGATAGATGGGTTGGGGGAGCTGGATTCTATTTGGAACCATTTACTCACTATGAGTCCTCAGCCCAGTCTCTCAGCCTCTTCTGGACCTCAGATGCTGTTATAGATTGAATTGTATCCCCCCCACCGCCCATCCCAAATATGTGTTGGAATCCTAACCCCTATGCCTGTGGAGAAACCCAGGGGCGTAGTGGGTAAAAGCTACGGCTGCTAACCAAAAGGTCAGCAATTCAAATCCACCAGGTGCTCCTTGGAAAACCTATGGGACAGTTCTACTCTGTTCTATGGAGTCGCTATGAATCGGAATCCACTCGACGGCAATGGGTTTGGAGTTTTTTTGGGTATACCTGTGGATATAATCCCACTGGGGGACAGAGTTTTTCTTTATTATGTTAATGAGGCCATATCGGCATAGGGTGTGTCTTAAGCCAATCACCTTTGAGATAGAAAAAGAGCAATTAAGCACAGAAGAAACCAAGCACAGACAAGGGAAGACAGATGCCACATGAAGACTGCCAAGGGAGCGAGGGATAAAAGCTAAAAAGAAACAAGGACCTTTCCCCAGAGCCGACACAGACAGAGCCTTCCCCTAGAGCTGGTGCCCTAAACTCAAACTTCTAGCCTCCTAACCAGGAACTCTTGTGGTGCAACGGTTAAGCACTCGGCTGCTAACCGAAAGGTTGGTGGTCCAAACCCAGCCAGCGGCTCTGCAGGAGAGAGACCTGGAAATCTGCTTCCATAAAGATTACAGCCTAGAAAACCCTATGGGACAATTTTACTCTGTCACACGGGATCGCTGAGTCGAAAATCGACTCAACAGCACCTAACACAAGCCTCCTAGCTGTCAGAAAATAAATGTCTGTTCATTAAAGCCACCCACTTGTGGTATTTCTGTTATAGCAGCACTAAGAAACTAAGACAGATCCAGTACCTGAAAAGTGAGGGCCTCAAAGTCTCCTCCCAGCTCAAGTAGACGTTTAGCCTTGTTTAGTTATGAAAATGTGTCCAAAGTGAGCCGGGCCAAACCCTTCCACTCCACCTTTGTGAATACTGGACCCTGGGAAAGCCCAGAACCTTCTACTGCATAACAATAATAATTGCCGTACGGGATCCAGCCCTCACAATGTGCCAGCCACCACGTTGCATGTTCCCACTGAATTGTACACTGTGGTCCTCATGACAACCCACTGAGTGTTATCCTCATTGGAGAGGCAGCATCCTGAGATGCAGAATGGCAAGGTGACTCACTCCTGGTCACACAGGTCATAAGTGGTAGAGACTGGCTTTGAACCCAGAAGCGTGGCTCCGGGACCTTTGCCCACACTGTGATACACTCGATGGCTTCCAGATAGTGGAAGGAGAAAGGATGTGTGTCATGGATTGAATTGTGTCCCCCAAAGGTATCTGTCAACTTGGCTGGGTCATGATTCCCAGTATTGTATGATTGTGTACCATTTTGTAATCTGATGAGATTTCCTTATGTGTTGTAAATTCAATCACTATGATCTACTAAGACGGTTTAGGGGCAGTTACATTAATGAGGTCTACAAGACTGGATAGTGTCTTAAGCCAATCTCTTTTGAGATATAAAAGACAGAAGCGAGCAGAGACACATGGGGACCTCATACCACCAAGAAAGCAGTGCAGGGAGCAGAGCGAGTCCTCTGGACCTGAGGTCCCTGCGCAGAGAAGCTCCCAGACCGAGGGAAGATTGATGACACAGACCTTCCTCCAGAGCCGACAGACAAAGCGTTCCCCTGGAGCTGACACCCTGAATTTGGACTTGTAGCCTACTGGACTGTGAGAGAATAAGCTTCTCTTTGTTAAAGCCATTCACTTGTGGTATTTCTGTTAGAGCAGCACTAGATGACTAAGACAATGTGCAAAGGTGTGAGACCTTGAGTGCCAAATGGGACACTTGGGAGCCTGGAATTGGGGTCCAGTCCCCACGGTGAGTTCACGTGGCTAATGCTTAGACGGCCCTCACACGGGCTGGGCCCCCGGCAAAGCACTGGCAATAGGATGGTCACCAAGGATAGAGAGGACACTGTTGTGGTCACTGCGTCTGCACACCTGGAAAGCTTTCCCCTTCTGTGGTCACAGTAGGACTATCCCCTTAGCCCCAGGAGGGGCCGTGGGTCTCAGGCCCCGCCAGTCACAGGTCCCCACGTCCCTGGACATCCCTCAGCCTAGGCAGCTGTGCTGGGATGATGGAGCCTCGATGCTGGAGGCTACCTGTCCCAGCTACACAGGGGACACCCATCCACAGTGACAGAGCACCACGTCAGCTCCTGGAGGGACGCCAACAGAGCAGTGCAGACAGACAGAGGGAGGAGGAGACAGGCAGAAGTGAGAAAACCCATGGGAACTGATGCAGCCGTCCAGCCCTGCCTGTCAACACTCCCAGCAGTCCCAGCTCACGGCACCTCGGGCTGGGCTTAAGGTAGGGGTGGCGTGAAGAATCCTATTTAAAATAGTCAATTAAAGTCCAGTCACATCATGGAGTACTATGCCACTATTAAAAACAAGGCAGATCCATTTTACCTAGAAAGAGCCTCTGTAACAAGCGAAGTCATCAAGTCACAAAAAGTATGAAGGATATGATCCCATTTAGTAAAAATGGGATTTATATATATTTAGAATATTATTTATATATAACAATATTTAATAATTATATGAATATAATTATAATTTATACATAAATACATTTAAATATTTAACAATATGTTTAGTGATATATTTATATCTTTAATAATAATAATATTTATACATTTAATATGTAATCTTATATTTGTTGTTGTTAGGTGTCATCCCGTGAATTTTCAACTCACAGGGACCCTATGTGCCCCATAGGGTTTTCTAGGCTGTAATCTTTGAGTCACTATGAGTCAGAATCGACTTGACAGCAACAAGTTTGTTTTTTTTTGTAATCTTTACAGGATCTGATTGCCAGGTCTTTCTCATGTGGATCAGCTGGGTGGGTTTGAACCGCCAACCTTTCCATTAGCAATAGAGCACTTTACCGTTGTGCCACCGGGGCTCCTTCATCCTACATTTAATAATATAATAGATAATATAATAGCGATAATATCCCTTATAGTATCATTATATATTGTAACACCTAGAAAGGGAGATACTAAAGTGGTAACATTGGTTACCTGTGAGGGGAGGAGCAGGGTAGGTAGAAGCAGTAGACTCATCATTTTATTATGCCATATACATCGTTTAATTTATTTAAACGAAGTGCATACGTCTATGTGTTATTTCAACAAGAGTGTGTTAATCTAATCTAACTATCAACTTGGTTTGGCTATGGTGCCCAAACCCAACTGGGCCCCAAATAAAGCAGATCACCTTCCACAGTGTGGGTGGGCCTGATGCAATCAGTTGAAGCCTTAAGAGCAGACAGGGAGTTTCCTAAGGTGTGTTCTGCCTCCAGACTACAAATAGACACATTGCCAGAACCCCCCTCTCTTCTCTCTTCCCATCGCCTGACCTGCAGATTTTGGGGAAAGCCTGCAGGAACCTGTAGCCTGTTGACTGAAGTATGGATTTCAGGACACAGACTGCAGGAACCTCCAGCCTGTCCCTGACCCACAAACTCTGGACTTGCTATGGACCAGCCCCCCACAATCACGTGAGCCAGTTACTTAAAATGCATCTTGAATGAATGCTTCTGCATTCAATCTGCTGCAATATCACACCCCTGTCACCCTGAAAAGGAGTCCCTGGGTGGCACAAACGGTTAAGCACTTGTCTACTAATCAAAAGGCTGGTGGTTCAAGTCCGCCGAGAGGCACCTCAGAAGACAGGCCTGGTGACCTACTTCCAAAAAATCAGCCATTGAACCCCATGGAGCACAGTCCTACTCTGACACACATCAGGTCGCCATGAGTCAGAGCCCACTAGAAAGCAACTGGTCGGTTACTGGTCACCTCTGAAAAAACCCCACGTAACTTGTGAGAAAATGAGAGTGGAAAAGGTAAACAATGACCTTGTCCTATTATGAAAACAGCTCTGACTCCGTGGAGCCCTGAAGGGGTTCAGTGACCCCAGGAGTCCCAGCACTCCACTTTGAGAATCACTGAGGTAAAGGCAGCACACTCATGAGTGCTGAATGAAGAAATGAAGGAAGATAAAAATCCAGCCCCACAGGAACTCACGGTCCAGCCAGGAAGAAAGAGAAGTCCCCCAAACTACGTGACAAATGTTCTCACCATGGGAAGTCCACATATCGTGGGGCCAGAGTGGGGAATATGCCAAGCCCTTCCCACCTAGCGGAGTCCCCGGGTAGTGCAAATGGTAAAATTGCTCAGCTGCTCACCAAGAGGTTGGAGGTTCAAGTCCACCCAGAAGCACCTCAGAAGAAAGGCCTGGCAATCTACTTCCAAGAAAATCAGCCATTGAAAACACCATAGAGCACAGTTCTACTCTGACACGGGGTCACCATGAATCAGAATTGCT